GGAAAAATGTCTTGCTGCTGTCGTAGGCAGCTTTTCATACTACAGCATGAATTATAGTATTTCAGTCATAGTGTATTATACATGCACTGAGCTCTCATCTGACTATAGAGAAAAATGCCCTGATGGGTAAAATATAAGAAATGTCATTTCACCAAAACTAGACCGTTTCAGAAAGTGTAGGGATTTCTGTACCAACCCGTTTGAATTCTTTTCAGTAATTAGAATAATAGATTCTCATGTGACAAGTTTATATCTTTTATATGTTATTTTGTCCTTTTGCCTACAAATATCCTTCAGACCAACAGGCCTCTGTGCTGTACAGAAAATCTTTACTGGGTCAGTCACAGCTTTTGACGTATCTTTTATCCAATACAGTGAATAGCTCAGAAATTATTCGTCCACTGTAAGGCCGTTGATGTGAAGCCTAGTGAAGAGGAGGCTGAGAGGAGACCTCATTGCTCTCTACAGCTACCTAAAAGGAAGTTGTAGTGAGTCTGGTGTTGGTCTCTTCCCCCAAGTAACTAATGACAGGACAAGAGGTAATGGCCTCAAGCTGTGCCAGGGGAGATGTAGATTGCATATTAAGAAAAATTTCTTCACTGAAAGAGTGGTCAGACATTGGAACAGGCTACCCAGGAAGGTGGTGGAGTCACCATCCCTGGAGGTGTTCAAAAGACGTATAGATGTGGTGCTTGGAGACATGGTTTAGTGATGGGCTTGGTCATGTTAGGGTAATGGTCAGACCTGATGACCTTAAAGGTCTTTCCAACCAAAATGATTCTATCATTCTATGTGATGGCAGCCTGTAGTCCTCCATTCCTTACTGCACTGGTAAACAATACCATGACCAAGTTGATTAAAAAAGTAATTTCAACTTAACTCTTTTGTTAGTCAACTACTTACATTTTTTTAATGACTATGACTACTTTAATGTCAAAATTTCCCATACAGAAGTATTAGCAATAATATCAGCAATTTAGAGCAGGACCGTTGTGAAAGAGCATTCGGAATGCTTTTCTGGTTAAACAATTTTCAACAAGAAGAATAACTAATATTGTTGCATATTCATTAGTATTCAGGAATTTATTGATCTTTCTCTTTTAGAGACTGTAGGTTAAGTTTTTTTCCAAAATTTTGGAAATAATCCCCTTTGTACATCAGAGTTTTTTCGGAACCTAGAAAAAGGAGTTTGTTCTTCTCATATACTGTTTTTTATTAATCTTTTATTTGGTCAATATGGATCAAAATGAAACTGCAAACTCTTTCCTTAAAGCTCCAAAATTACTTTCGACTTTTGCAGAATAAGATCTTGTCTGTGAACCTATAGGTGATCATACAATGAAGTAGAACTTAGGCCTTGCCCTTTAGCTAAGTGTGATATACATTCTGGGGAGTATATAAAGGTCACATTTACTTCAAGCTTTTGCTTTGGAAACTAGTGCCTTAATAGCAACTCACATCCCTTAAAAAGACTTTAACTAAGCCCCTATAATGGCAAATTATGATCTGTGTTCAGAGTGTTACCCACCACTTTGTGATATGAGTGAAATGTGAAATGTGGTTATTTTTTTTATTTAACTAATGGGAAAAGGGATACTATTTATGGAAAAACTTGAATAGTTATAGTATATTTGGGAAAAAATTTGCATTTTCATTGTATAACTTTGACACCATGTGAAAAAGAATACTGAGCTCTTAAAACAGAGGAAAGATCTTTGAAGTCTAAATGGTTGATGCTGTTGGCAGAGCTGGGCTTGGGGCTTTTAGAATTCAATCTCAGACCTGTTTGAATTTGTGGAGGAAGATTCTCAAGTCTACAGGTTTTTTTAAAGTTAAACCCATCAATTTGGGGGCTTGAATCTTGTGTATATCAGGGTAAATATTAGGAGATCTTTATCAAAGTCTTTGCAGGTATGTTGGACTACAAGGTTAAATGAATGTGTAGATGATGCTGAACATTATATTTAATCTTCTCTGAGAATCTCAGAGTATCGTGAATTAGATCTGACAAGGTATATAGCAATCTTCCAACATCCACTGTGGAAAAATATTCAAGAGGATAATACCTGTGTTACCTATTCTGAAGAGTCAGGGAGAACGAGGCAGATGATTGCTGGATCTGTATGTATTCTTTGAAATCCTGTTGACGTGTCAGCAATTTATTCTTTTAAGTGGCTCCAAGTTGCTTACTGTTGTTTCCAAGTAACATGCGAGATCTAATATGGGCTTTAAACGTGTACTTAATGAAAAAGCTTAAACTAGGCAAGAGAAGGTAATGATGGTGAACATGGAATTACCTTAAAATGTGGCAAGTTCTATTTTCCATATTTACATAGACTCATATGAGAAGACGTGATTGTGTGTTTAGTTAGTTATTTTATTATTTGTATCAGATTTATGACAACAATGATATCCTGTACGATGCTGGGCTCCATCTCAACTACCAGATATACAAGTCCTTTTGATGGAAAGCTACAGTTGTAACTTCTGAATCCATAGTGAAAAGTTTTAGAAGGTATTAAGCAACCTTTCAGCTATTCTTTGCTTTGAGTGAATGCCAAGAGAAAGTCAGCCACACAAAGAACACTCATTAATTTTTCATAAGGATTAGAACACTTACCTTCTTTAGTTGATAACTGCTAATTTTGATTTTAACTGTAAATACAGATATCATAAGCAGTTCTCCAGGATGCAAACTTGTAAGCCCTAGGTTTTTGTTTTCTTTGCCTTTTCATCTACAGTGCTGGCCGTGGGCTGTATGGAATTGATAGCATGCCAGACCTGCGTAGAAAGAAATCTTTTCCAATTGTTCGAGATGTGGTGAGTAACTTCTGAGGATATGAAACTGTTGATTCATTTGTCCATTGTCTAGATATTTTTTGTAATTACCATTGTGCGTGTGAATGATAATTTGTCAACAATTGTTTTACGGGAAAAATGTATCTCAAGAGAAGGGATTGAAGCCAGTAAAAGTCAATGGTGCAGTTGTCATAATGTACTAGGTAAGTCTAAATATCTCATCAAATATTTAAATATTACTTGTGGAATCCAGTAATGTACGTTTTGTGCAATATAAACTACTCTTTCATGTTGAATTAGCTTATGAAGACAGCTGTTATTGAATGCTTGGGATACTGATTGACTTGATTTATTGTGATACTGAAAGAGGGAGAAAGATCCTTTTAAAAAGCAAACCTGTTTCAGTGTGTATGTTTTAAAGATTTATGTTTTGGTACAAGATGAGGTATGTTATTTTAGCAGTCATTGTAGACAATAATAATCGAGGCAAATAAATTTCAGAAAGGTGAAGAATGGCGGTTTCTTTGAGATTTATTCTGATGTAGAGTCTAAACAAGATTAAGTAGAATCTCTCTGCTCTGAAGAATTTCAAGTGCCATTAGCATTTCTCTTTTTTTCTTTTCCTGAAGTATAGAATTCATAATTCAATAAAATGCATATTTAGTCTCTGGTTGGGGTAAGACCCCAACGAGTTTTTCATTGTAAAGAAATGAGGGTGAGTCAGCCAAAGTAAATGATTACTATAGTTGTCTTTTAAAGATCAACCTTTGCCAAATTATTGCTCAATGTATTCTCAGCTACTCTGTTCAGTTACTCGACAGTGATATACCACACCATCTGAACGGTCACAAAGAGAAAGCTTAGCAACCCTTCTAAAGTAGAAATCCTTCTGAAATCAATGAAGACATGGTAGACCCTGCATTTGCTGAAATAATCTTTTTGATGGTAGCCACTCCACTGGAAGTTGTATTACATGAGTATACTCTACAGCCATATTATGACACTTTAATGCATATTCTTTATTATTGGAACTGTTTACAGACAGGTATGGCTTAGAATGAGTTAAGACATTAACTATTCACTTTGAAAAACATAATAATTGTCAGAGTGAAACAAAAAAGAAAATTCACACGTTCAATGGTGGAATAAAACTTTCATTTTGTTATTCTAATATGTCAATGATTACTATGTAACAATTACTGCTTTACTGTCCGGTCATTGGAGGATAATTCCTCTTGAAGGAATTATACCTTTGATAAATGTAAATTGCAAAGTTTCGAAACTGAAATTTATTCTGAAATTTAATCATTATGTACTTAGTATAGCTCTTAACTATATGTTGTTTAACTATATACTTCTTTAAAGTAGTAAATTGTATTACAATTCAGTTCTGCAGCTGTAAACCCGAAACAATTTTACCAACTTAAAAGGAACTTATTTCAGACTTAGCATAGGTTGTCTTCATCTTTGAAAGATTATTTGTATTTGAAGGTAGGTGTATTTTAAGCAATCTCCTGTGAGCTTTGAGCTTGTAATAAGTTGATTCCAAAATACCTCATTTAAATCAGTAACTTCATTCTCAAGTCCTTGTAAGATCTGATACATTGTAAATGACCTTTTTCTGTGTGTTTACTTATATAACTGCTTCAGAAAAATAGAAATACTGTTGCTAGAAATGAGTGCTAGACTCTCTTGGCACTGACTGAAATAAATGTTTGTTGTTGTTGCAATAAATCTGACAAATTATTAATATTCTTTATAACTTTTTTTCCTGTCTCGGCTGGATTTTTCAGGCTATGGTAAGTATTTTTATACTAATAAATGTTCTAAAATGTTCATAACAACTCTTAGGAATTTAATGAATGTCATATTTTCTTATGACCTGATATTGGAAGAGAAAAACAATTTTATGACGAAGAATTTAATCCGAAGTGAAGTTGTGTCATATGTGAATGTCTTGTCCTCTGCATCATATATGCCAAAATTATTAGAAAAAGTTGTTAAAAAGTTGTCTATGTATTCCAAATGTCCTTTCTAATGATACAAACCAATTGTTTAGGATGCATTGCTGACGCTTCCACAGTGGAACTGAACAGCCTTAGATAACTAGATAAAAAGAAATTGAAACTTTGAAATCCTCTTGTATCAGTCACCTAAATTCTGCGATCTGCCTTGTGAAAGGTGAATTTCCATAAGCAAATAAAGGCTCTTATGTACTACGATGTAATTTTTTCTGATCACTAAATTAATGACTCATGGAAATACCTTCTTTTTCCACCAACTTTGGCACTTGTAAAGGTCCCTCCTTATTTACCTAGTCCCTTTGCACTTCCAACTTCTCTGCATTAGTTTTCATGTTTTCAACATGGTATCTCAAATAAGATTTATCAAAATGATGTACATCTTCTTAAGATGGTATCTTTGACTCTCATTTGGTTCCATAAATTCCTGTTTGAAATATCCAGCTTTCAACAGCAGCCTTACTAGTTCTCTTTCTCCTAAATTTCTGAAATAAGTTTTTTTGCTAATGCATTGGGACTCTCTGCTTTCCCTGCTTGTTTTGGATTGAGTCATTAGAGAGGATAAGGCAGTCAAAATCCGCCTGCAGGAACAGGTCTCTGCAGTCGTGAGTTTCACTATGGGTCACTAGTAGGGTTCTAGTAGAACATACCTGGTATAGGAGGGAAAGACAATGCATGGAGAAATAGTCATTCCAGTGGAGCAACAATACAGAGAGCTGTTTGGACACCAGTACAGAGAGATTGAACCAACCTCTGTTTAATGTGGAGCCAGAAAAGAGTATCTAGTGCACTTGCCGATGTAGTCTCTGTAACTTCTACCTTTAAACAAACATGTTCTCTCTTTTGTATTAGTTAGGGATTTTATTTGGGGTGGTACTGCAACCAGGAAGAGGAATAGCAATAATTACAGTGGAGGTTACAAGTACTTAACTCACGATGGTGATCTGCCCGGTCTTAGGCAAAGGTAGCTGGTTCTGTTTTTCTGTCTCACTATGCTTTAATCTTTGCTTCTGTTAATGCAAGTCATCACTTCAAATGTTATGAAAACTAGAAAATTCCTGATTTCATTTGACTTAAAGGTCACTTTATACTGTACCATCGCTGTAATCAGGCAAAATTCTTCTTTTGATCATTCAAGAATATATTATTATTTGGCTTTATCATTTGAGTATAAGAACACAAGTATAACTTGTGAATCCTTGCTGATGTTGTAAAACAGTCTGCTTGGTTCATACTGTTGAAATGAATGCACCAGATAAAACAACTACCCGTTTCAGCTAAAACAATAATGCACCGATACTTCTTTTTATGTAAGTGTCTCCACAACAAAAGCATTTAGAGAGGCTAGAACTCGATTACGGTACTTTAAACTCTTTTAACATTGAAGACACTTGTATAATTGCAGCTGCCATATTCTCAGTTTTTGTACATTGCCAGATTAATTATTAGGTAAAAGCTAAATATCTGGACTATTTTACATTAAATCTGCTATTTGCAGTCCATTTTCTTAACTCATTTAACCATTAATAGACAAATTGGATCAAATATTTTAATATTCATACATTATATAGATAAAACATACTCAAAACAGTATTTGTATATTTGTTGCGGTCTTTTAATTCTACTAAATGGAAATCATAATCATATGATTACAGTCCTATATTTCAAACGTGTGTTCCAGCAATTAAGACTTAGTTGTGGGGAAATTAATAAAATCTTTATGAACTTGTTTGGTTTTGTTGTTTCCCATGCCATTTCTGACTAACCTTAATATTCAGAATGATCTTAGAGCTTGGACGGGGCATGCTCTTGTGGCCGTGCTATAAAAACAAACATGAAGAAAAAGTAAATGGTACTATACAGTGGTGTCCAGTAATGACCATTTCCTTTCTAAATCTGTTTTCTGGGCTTACTACTGCAGTTCTGTTGAACAACTCAGGATCACACATCAACTTTCTTAATAGAAAAAATATGGGAAACAGAAAAGTAAATTTGGACAAGAGCTTGTTTCTTTTTGAGTGATTTCTTCCTCCTTCCCACCCCCCTTCCCCCTCCCCCCAACAAAGTACAAATCTGTCTTTCAAAATAATACAGTTGAGATCCTTAAGTGATCGTAGACTCATCACAGAATCACAGAATGGTTTGGGTTGGAAGGGACCTCAAAGATCACCTAGTCCAATTCCCCTGTCAGGGGCAGGGACAACTTCCACTAGACCAGATTGCTCCAAGCCCCATCCAGCCTGGCCTTGATAAGTTACCTGTAGTGGCTCAAAAAGGGACAGTTCTGAAATCATGCAGCACTTAAATGCTGAAAACAGTGTATTTTTTGGTCAGATTCACCTCTAGTAGGTAACTTTTACATTGCATTAAAAATACGATATGTGTAAAGTGGTAACAATACATTGTTTTCAACTTTTTTTTCCTGGTGATAGCAGGCTATAGATTCTTGTAAAGAAAAAATTGTAAAGGAAAAGATGATCAGGAAAACTGAAACCCTCTGTGAAAACAGAGGACTGATTATTCCATGGTACCACCAGCACTCATGAACACTTGCTTGACTGCTACTTCCTCCACACTACTTTAGCTGCTCAAAGCACAGCTTGCTTTTATTTCATCATGGCAGGTGGCTCTTTTTTCACCCACACCATTTTTCATTTAACATTTAATTGTAGCTTGAGTCTAGTTCTCTTTTACTTATGGTTACCACTTTTCAATGTTTTTGCTAGAATAACTTCTAACTATATTAATTTCTTTATTTAAGCCGCTAAGGTAAGTTTGGAGGTAATACGTAAGACAGTATAGATACAAGTTATTAGGGGGTCTAAAAGGACTTAAGCACAAAGGAGACTCATACAGGTTTTAAAATTAGGGATTTGGAAAAATTTTAAAAATTAAATAGATTATGTTCTCCTTTATCATATTCTCTTATTTTTTGGAGGGGTTTTGGCTTTTGTTTTGTTGTTTTTTTATAAATTTGTCCATATGTTCATCATGCAATAGTACCTACATCGAGATTGTTACACTCTGCAGGTCAAATTCTCCTATAAGGAAAGATGTGAGGTAGTCTTTGAATGTCAGTTTGAGAGAGTAAGCAAGTGTGAACTGCCGAACAAGTTTTGCATCTGTTAAAGAGGAGCAGTAAAAGGCTTTGGGTTACTGTTGCTCACCCTGTTCTTTTGATGCTGTGGCAATTCGGACTTCCTTCCTGGAGGCTCCAGAAGACTAGCTGCACTTACCTTTCTTCCTTGATACCATTTAAAAACAGAACGGCAGTAGGGGGAAAAGTGTTCTTGCTACATTCATAACCTGTCACCTTGTTTCCCATAAATTAGTCTGGCAGCATTTTTCCCTTCCTCTTTCCAAAATACTCATTTCTTCTTGCTCCGTACCATCCTTCTTGCTCCATACCATCCTTAAGAACAGACACTGTTCTGTGTTTTCACTGCTTCAAGCTGTTGAATTGTCACCAACTATGGTATTTGAGAACAGAAACATTTTATGTATGGGCTTTCTCTTGAAGATGCAGTTTATTCTGACAGTGATAGATAAATGGAAATAATCCTTGTGAGTTTCTTCACTAAAATCCCTATAGGTTTAATCCATAATGACTGTTAACTTTACTGATTTATCACAAATCCCTCTAGGTATCACTTTCTTCTGTTATCCTTCCAACATGACAAACACTTTATTAAGAACAGCCTAATTATCTTAGGCTTTGTTGTTTTATATAGGACACTGTATTATGATTTTAAACACGTTTCTGATTCAGGAGCAAATGCTTAAGCTACATGATTCCAGGAGTAGCCCTTGGGAGAACTGGGCCTCAAGGACACATAAGTCAAAATTGAAATGGCTTCCCTACTTTCCTTTTTCTCACAGGAAATAGTATCTGTTTATTGACTTATACTGGCAGCATAAAACTGCAGTTCTCCTGCTGGCTCCTCTACTTTGATGTGCTGCTGGAGGACAGACCACAGCAGCATTCACTACCCTGTATTCAACATTAATGTTATTAAGCCCTTTGTATTCCTGCCCTGACAAGTAGTCCGTACTGCTCTATAGCCTAGAATGGCTAGGATTGTGTATTTTAGACCTAAAAGGATCAAATCACTTTCTAAGCATAAGGGGCATGAAGACTAGAGGTCAAAACTATAAAATTGAAATACTGCAGGCAAGTAAATTTAAATGCCTGCTTTCCGAGATTTTGAGAAGAAACCTATGCTTCAAAAGATGAGTGCTTTTAAAACAAATCTTTTTAAACCTAAAACTCTACTGTTTGTGGAAATTGTTTCTTTTTTTCTTGATGTTCCAAAAACATTTTTGCTTGCCATTTCTCACTTTAGCATTAGGTTTTGTCATAGGAGGTTTGAAAAGGCGGTCCTGGGCCCTGGTTAATCTTCCCTGTCACTTTGTCAGTCTCACTGGTGCACACCAATGGAATTTCCCACAGAAACAGAAGGAAAAGATGGTTAGAGAGAAGCAAACAGGTTAACAGTGGGAAAACTGATAGCAGATTAATGGCATAAGCTTGGTAAACTGCTGAGGGTTTAAAAGAAAAAAAGTGGGGGGAGGTTTCTTTGCAACCCATATTACCTGTAATAGATCAGTGATGAATCAAATAAAATATTTCTCTGCCAAGGAGACTTCTTACCCTATAATTTGTTTCACAAGATTAATGATTTTGTGTCTATCTGGAGGTTTGATTATTATCAAGGGAAAG